ATTGTATCATTGAAGGGCTTGAATTCGGGTTCTTCCATTAATTTATTGTATGTACGGGCACGGCCTGTACTCTTTGTCTTGGAGACTATTTGCGACAATTCCTTGACATCAATGTTACTATATACTGCATGACCACTAAAGTTTAATTCTAGCGAAAACAAATATATAAGGTTTTACAACAATACTCATGATTAAATCCGTTTGACTTACAAAGAATACAAAATAAATGTAATAGAAGATATCAACTCACCAAATGTCAAGGTACATACGATATAAATAATTAAACGTTAACTATTAACTTGTTCAAAGAAGTCTTAGCAAAGCTGTTGTCGCACCCTCGGTTGCACTTTGCTTCGAGAGGGCAAAAGTCCACGCTTTCTTGTCCAAAATATGAATGTCATTAATATAATTAGTATATATAATTATGAATACTATTAATTGTAACACCGCCGTGCTGTAGTGTTAAGGGCACCTTAACATTGTATGATCATACAGATTAAAATTTTTTTCATTGTTTCTGACATTTCGGCTATCTAAAGTAAGGGTATGACTAAAGGGAGAGTTACCAACCGGAGAGTTATCTCGGAGAGTTATGATTTCGGAGAGTTATGTTTGAACCACGCCCACACCACGCCCACTTTTCCCAACGGCCACGCCCAATCTCTTAACTCTCCCGACGTTTCCTTGAACTAACATGAGAGAGTTATGTTTGACGTAACTCTCCCTCGTTAACATTATGAAGATGTTAGAGAGTTATCATTTTTTATAACTCTCCGCGTTCAGGATTGTGGCAATGAAGAGAGTTATGTCAGTTTTTTTGAGAAAACCTTAGTAAAGCTTGTTTCTTCAGATTTTCATCTTATATTTTGGTATTTCAGTTTGTAGCGTGTCAATAGCGTGCGTCCAAACAGGAAATACAACTTGACTCGGTCAAAACAATGAGATGCTTGCATCAGAAGGGTCAAAGTACCCCCAGAAGCATGCTTTGACGTGTATTTGGCAGTAAATACGGTAAAAAATAGTTGCAAGAAAATTGAAAAAAGTTAGAAAAACGAATCAATTCGGGTTTTGGAAATACTTTCCCAGATCTGCCAATAGGGCATTACATTTTAGAAATGTTTTCTGGTTCTATCTAATACGAAAGCTGTATATGAATGCTGGACTTGGTAGATAATCCAAGTGCGCATGTATATAAACATTTATATTATATATAGATGAACTCGCGGCGGTTGCAGCTCAGCGGCTGGCCTCTGTAGCTCAATTGTTTAGAGCGCAGCATCGGAATCGCAGAGCCACAGGTTCGATCCCTGCCAGAGTATCATATAGTGTCCAGTGTTGCACATTTCGTAACGTTCCTTGTTTGAAAACCCTTACTATGGAAATCAGAAATGTATGATCTTAGTTGAAAATTAATAGCATGGAAATCCAATTTTCATACTAATTGGAATTTTCATACTATGGATATACTATGGATTTAGTGATGCCAGACATTCCAACCACTGGAGGTAAAATTTAGGGAGACTGTTCAGTGAATTGAAATCTAGTTCTTCTGGGAAAAAATAATAAAAATTAAGTCTCCTGAAATGGCGTTTCCTGCATTTTGGGACTATGTTGTTATAAGTGATCCTATAAATTGCCATAAAGCAACTTCAAAAAAGGTCAAGACAGACTATTATGTTGCTAAAAACAGTATATTTATAATTTTTTATGATATTTCCTGAATATTCTGAAAAATCGGGAGAATTTGATAAAAATCGGGAGACCGGGAGATTGCATGAATTGTCGGGAGACTCCCGGGAAAATCGGGAGAGTTGGAATGTCTGTGATGCATTCGCATCTAGTGATGCATTCGAATTTCACTATTTTTTTTCCATTGTGTTTGGTTTTACATTGTGTATATATGTATACTGATTCTCACTTGGATTATCCACCAAACCCAGCATTCGAATTCCAATTCAACCAACTTGAACCAAGTGCAAATAACATATTTCAAGTATTTACATTGACCCTAAAGGTAAAACTTTTAGGTATGTGCAAACATTTCCAAATCATTTCCTGGTACTTGAGATTAGATGTAATCACATGCCAACTTCACAATAATTTTCCATTTTCCCCTCGCATAATCTTACATAAGATGAATATTAACAAATGAGGTCTATATACCAATCATTACCACAAGCATGGAAAAGCGCAAATGCAGATATGATAGTGTATCAATCCCCAAATTAATCGAAATGTGTTATTTCATTGAACTATATTTTATAGGATTATTTATTTAGAAGCGAATTTAAATCTATCCGTTCGAGATAGTGTATCATCTGTTCACCTTGTCCAAGTGAACTAAAGAAAAAGCGCATTTAAGGCCAGGGTCAAACGTCGAACTTTTCATGTGCCGAACGTAATGCAAATGAAGTGAAACAAAGAACTTAGCTCATTAACATTAGGTCCGGCACATGAAAAGTTCGACGTTTTACCCTGGCCTGAGATACGTTATACGTAGACATGCAGGGTTTATTTGATCGACATTACCTATACCGCAGTCTTGAAATAACAATACTGTCATGTTACAACTTCGTTCTGATTGTACCAACCATTTGATATGACATTGCTTTAAGTCGATCCCCATCACGAGAACTACGAGAGGTAATTGAAACCGTTTGTTTTAGGACACAAAATACACTGCATGTGAGCATGTCTTCAATATAACCGCACTTCATGCATTATCTTTTGGAGAGTTAAAGTCCAGTAGGTGTACAATTATATTTTTGAAAATACTTTGACTACTTAAATGCGTCGCTTTATTGGTCAATTTCGGAAATGTTGCTCTATAATTGGGCTGACTTGGAAATGCTTTCATGAAATAGATTTTGAGCCTAAATGTCAAAGTGACTATAAAGGCTAAGCAGACTAACCATAATTTTCGGATGAGTGCATGCATTATACCTCGACAGATAAATCTTTGTAGTTTTTTTGGGACGCATAATATTTGCAGCGCCTTCCTCAGGCATTTTGTGTGTATTATATATATAGGGGTCACCTCAAGTCGCGATTATATTGGCACAACATATACTATATTATATCTATACGTATATGAAATTATGCGCAGCAAAATCAAGTTTGTTGTACCTTACCAATTAATGTTAAACGACCAGTTACTGGTAATGGACGAATACCATGATGCTTTCAAATTGTTCGTATATTCTTGATATTTGATATTAGGAGACTCGCAATAGCGTGCCGTAAGTCTAGACACTTAGCTCTGTTGTAAATTGACTGACTGACTGACTGAAATTGAGAAATATATCTGAAGACGGAATCTTGTGTAGAAATGCTGTCAACAACTAAAGGTGGAGTTGCACAAGCAACAAAATAGCTGCAACTTGCAAACAAAATCTGATTTCAACGCATGTTAAGTAGAAATGTCAACACATGTTGCCTTGTGATTTGTAATTTATGTGTAAACATTTTCAATTAACATGCGTTGAAATCAGATTTTGTTGCAAGTTGCAGCAATTTTGCCGGCTCGTGTAACTCCAGCTTAAGGATTAAAATTTTAAATATATAGGATAATTTTTAAAATAATTTCAACCATAAATACATTCCATTAATTTTGCTGGTTAATAAAGATGATTAGTATTTTTGCACAATTAAGTGCATGAATATAGCAAATCCTACAAGTTGATTGGTTAAATTTGACGTATCAGTTAAGCTGTTATATTCACGTACACTGGTGAATATAAGAAAACCGAAATTTGATAAATGGCGGCTATAGCCGTTTTGTAGTTACTGATAAAGAAATACGCGAAATTAAAATAAATTCAGTCCCAAAAAAACACAAAAGACATGTGTAAAAATACTAAAACAATTATTCACCTCAGGCTCGGTGATTATCACCTCACCTTCGGCGAATAATTGTTAAATAACTTTCGCTGAATCAATTTGCGCATTACATTTTTTTTATTTTACTGCTCTGCGATGTCCGTGCTGCCTCCTTGTGACATCCACAGTGTTTATCAGATCAAATTGTCCTCGCTCGTGACTCGTGGCCGGAAGCATGTCCTCGGAAACGGTAAACGACTTGTGGAACTTCGTCGCCGGTTTTCCCACGTAACTCAGCTGGCGACTTGACTCTCGTTGATTTTATTTTATAGGATGAAATAACGCTTATTGTTTGATCGCTGTACGATTGCGATTACGTGTGGCTATTTCAGTATTTAAATCACATATGGGGCCCATTTCTTAGAGACATGACAATTGGTAAATGTCTCAGTCTCCTTGCGAGAACAATTCATTCACATATATATATGTATATAGCTGCAATTTGGCCTGCAATATTCAACTACTAAGCGCTCTTCGAGTTTAAGGTTTTGCAAAGGACAACCTTTTTTATTTTAGTTGTATAAAAAACACACTCTAGCTCCCACGGTTATATCGAGGTACTGATATAGCTATAGCACGAACGAAGAACGGTTGCATATACTAAATAGTATGCTCTTTTAGGACGCGCCAATTTTATATGTATAAACATGATAAGTTGAGTTTACAACTTGCATTGAAAACTATAAGTGTCAAGAATTTTCAACTTCCGTCCATAATTGGCATTGAGTGTAAAAGTATGGAAAAAATATTAAAACATGAATGAACTTGGCAGGTGATTCGGTCCTCGAGATATTATTCGTAAAAATCACTGCATCAGCATACGCTAAAGATTTTCTTCCATCGCTGTTTATATTATGTAAACGTGATGCTAAAGGTAAACATGAAATTTAGCCTTTTCCACTTCGAAAGTTTGAGATAAGTCTGAAGGGTTTTTACTTGCTTTTCCCTGCGAAATGTACGCGATTATTTGTACTTCCGGCGCACTTTGATTGGCTAAATTCAAATAAAGTGCGGTGATTGGAGAATCAACCACTTAAGCGACAATTGTGTCAGGTGTCCGTTTTCCCCAAGAACGCCTGATCGCAGGTTAGAGTAAAATTAAATCACTTTTCATCGGCGAAATGGACGCGTTTTATGAAGAGATTTCTTTGGCTGAAAAAAGTTATCGCCAGCATTTGGGAAATGTTCAAGCTATTATTCACTTACTTGATCCAATACAGACGATCAACAATAGTCAATCTGGTCATCTCGATGGAAAAAATCACTCACTATCGAAATCGTACAAGTAAGTGAAATTCATATTTGAAAAAAAGATAGAATGACTTATAGTGCACAGCGTGAGCGAATGACGTTAGCATCTTATACTATCAATTATAATCTTGGTTGGTGGCTAACTGGCTATAGTCTCTTGTTTTTCCAAAATAATGCTCAAAGCACTAACAGTTTCACATGGAAAAAACCCGCCAAGACAATGTCTCGAAAAGTTATACGTGCACGTGCTGGTTGTAATAATACTGTCGACTGACTGGCTAGGTTTCTGGTACTTTTGAGTTTTGGCGTTGAGTATATTATTATATTATTATTATATGTTTGAAACTATAAGATATTTGAGTCTTTTAATATGTTGTTCTATCTGTCACTTTTGTCTGCCAATGGTATCGTAAGAATGCGCTAGGAAAAGACCGAAAAGTGATTATACTGTTATCAATAAAGTATGAAGTGGTCGGCATGGTTAGAAAAGCACAACTGTTTCCTTCACACGAGCACATCAAGATTACAAGTTTTTTGTTTTGCCACCGGCACTCTCCAATGTTTGGCCACTTTTATGCTTTTCCGGTTTATTTGTGCAAATAACTACATTTTTAATCTTTTTCCCCACTTGGGCTTGGCCGTGTTGAGTTTATCTATTGGTCGAGTGTTGCATGTCGAGAGTAAAATGTCGAGTGTGAGGGTAAAAAGTCGAGGGTAAAATGTCGAGGGTTCATTAATAATTCACGAGGAAAATACAAAAGAAATGAATGTTTAATCAATGTTTGTAAATCGGATAAAGATTTGTCCTGATTTACATAAACTTCAGCTTTGATTTTCTCTGCACAGACATGTTTATTTTTAAAATTACTTCGCCAATGAACTCATCAGAAGGGTCATCTTTTAAGTACGATTCGCATCCGATCTGTATCTGATATACAAACTCTCGCCTTCGGCTCGAGTTTGTATATCAGATACAGATCGGCTGCTCATGTTTTATCTAGTACTTATAATTAATGCAGCCAAATTACGGGTTCGACGGCTTTACGTCCTCATGCACTTAGCATGCAGCCGTGCAGGCAGCAATAGTCGATATTTAACCCTCGACATGTTACCCTCGACATTTAGAAGTCGATATTTAACCCTTTACTTTTTACCCTCGACATTTTACACTCGACCAATAGATAAACTCGGCCGTGTTTGTAGTCCCACAGCCGGAGTCAACCCATTTCGCCTGAGGTCGAGGGCAAACAATCCGGTTGCTGAGCAACTACGCCTGCATATCACCATATGTTTCTCGTCACGCAATCTTCAGAAATTCAATTAAAATTTAAAGTTTAGAGATGGAAAATGTATTGAGTAAGAGCGTGGATTGGGACATAGGTGTACGGATCCTGTTTCAATTGGGGTGGGGTGGGGGCTGAGGTCTTTGGACCGAAAATTTTCCGCGAAAATCCAACCCAAAATCGTTTCCTAAAAATGTTGGTGAGCGGGGGACGGCAAGTCATCGAAAATTTTTTTTCCCGACATACAAATTAACAACAATTAACCTTGTAAATTTTTTTCGGACACAACAATTTGCAACAATTAATTAAGCATGTAAAATTTTTCCGGACATAACTTTTTCCTTCATATTATAAAACTTTTTCGCAAATAATATTTTTCAGTTCATAATATAAAATGTTTCCCAATAGTTTTCCTCACTATTGAATTTTATCATTGTCTGTGGCCGGAAAACGGAAAACGATTGCCCGAAAAAATAGCGATTTCCGAATTTATCACGCCGTGCGTCAATTTTGGAGCCCAGCGCCTGTGCATGGTAGAAAACTTGTTCGTACAAAAATATCTCGAATGTAGAGTTCAGAACTTTGCTTGATTGCAAACTTCCAGGAGATGCCGGAACCAATGGTGCAGCGATGTTTTAAAGTCATATAATGTCACATGTATTGCCTTTGTGTAATTAGTATTCATACGTCACAGGTGCGTACTGTATCACTGCGCACGGTGTTTTAAATCTGCGAACAAAGCGTAAAACACCGTGCGCACTGCACGTACCATAGCACCTATGACGTATGAATACTCATTACACAAAGGCAATACTTATGGCGTCATATGACTTTAAAACACTTAGTACACACCTGTGACGCATGAATACTAATCGCACATACCTATGACGACATATAGCGGGAAAGTTTTGCTGATGTAATTTGGCGGTAAACTTACGCTGGATGAGGGATAAAATACTATTAATGTAAAAACAATTGTAAAATTTCTCTTAAACTATTCAATATTAATTTTTACTTATTATTAGGTTGTGGCTAGCCAAACATCACCCTGACAAAGCAAAAGCCAAAGGCGAAGCTGGTTTGGAAGAAACCGACTTTATAAAAGAGTACGGAAATATTTTGCTTAAAACGAACAATGTAAGAATTAGTATCCTATTATTAATACCAACGAAAAAATACAATATGTTAAGATAAGATAATTTAAATTAACACACCATATATTGATTTTTTATATTATTTGTCTTATATGGACTATTTTTCTTTTTTGGGTGTGCAGAATGCTGCTGTATGTGATTTGTTTGCTAAACTTCACGAATTAGGTAGTCATTCCATTATTGCCCAAGTAGAAGCTCAAGAACTTGACTAGGTACAAGAATAGCATAAAGAACGCATTAAGAGCTGTTAGACAATACAACGATGAATGTGACGTTGGATGTTTGAAAGAAGGGGAAATCATTGATCAGCAAACGTACAGCAGAGATTTTCCATCTACTGGATCTGTTTTCGATTTTGGTGTTAGAAAAAATTTAGCAAATCCTAAAATTGATCAGTTATCATCAATTTTGAAAAAACGAGAAGAGAAGAATATTCCCCTGGTTGTAACAAGAGTTAAATGGAACGATGAAAAAAGCAATTGTAGTTTAGTCGGTGATTATAGAGTGTTGTGTTATATACCAGAGCAAGATTGCATCGAGATCCAGCTTATGTCTCCTGTAGATGACCTGGGGTCCAAATGCAAGATCTCTTCTGTTGTTATTGATGCATTTGAAAAATTATTGGAATTACTGAGATCGTGTGTGGTGTTCCTTAAAAAGAAGAGGGATTTAGAAGAGCAAAATTGCCATAGGTATAAGTCACTGGGTTTTTTCCAATATTAAAGGAATAAATAATCTTTTGCAGAAAACTTAGTTATTTTATAATACAATGGCATCATTACAAGTTGATTCACATACCGAACAAAAGTATGTGATGACGAGTGACTACAATTGACAGGTTCGATTGGTGATATTTCGAGTCTAGTTTCTTCGATATCTATATATTCTATGCACATTCAGAGTAACATCACAAGCATCATATTCGCTCGAGTACATAACACCAACACCCCAAAAAATCATATCATAGAATACATAAATATAGAAGGAACTAGACTCAGTTCCGAAATACACCGCCTCGAACCGACTTGACCTCGAAGCTCAGTTGACAGACTAGTATCCCAAAGGTTGCGGGTTCGATTCCCACCGTGGTCAGGCCAGTGTGGATGCATACTTACACTGGCACTATCATTATTTTTTTTATTTTCTTAAATGTAAAGTAACTTGTATAACTTGTTGCGATATTTCATTTTGTTTAATTAAACATTAATTGCAAACATATGACGTTATTTACCTAATAACATGTAAAACAAGATATCAGAAAATGTTGCACATCGATCTTTGCTTTGTTGTTCGTTTTCAAAAAAGTAGTATACTTAAATTAATGCCGTTGTGAAATTAACACGTGCTACATCTTCAAAAAATGTTGACAAAAAATAACAAAGATATGTATGTAACGGAGTGAATGACGTCACGTGCTCTGTAATGCTTCATAAACATATTTCGACAATTAGACAAGGAAACAAATATCTCAAAAGAAGTTACTTTACAGTTTTATGAGTTACTTCGTTTAAGACAATAAAAAATTTAATGATAGTGCCAACTTAATATTTTTTATTGCTATGGAAGCGAGCGACGTACGTTTTTCTTATTTTGTTTTGTATTCTATTTTAGACACTCGTTTGGTTTCCATGTGGTTAATTAGTTGAATGTTTTGCTTGTGCCAAAGAATCGAGTCTCTTCACATTTGATCAACACATGGAAGAAAATGCCGCTTTAGAGGAGTTCTTATATTTGAATGGTCTTCGTAAGTGGTCGGTAGCTAGTGATGGATTGTGCTTAATAAGCAGCTGGCAAATCGCAATGAAAACACACTTGCAGAAAAATTACAGCGGTGGAAATGCGGCACTCAAGTTTGATGCAGTTGACAATTTGCGTAAAAACCCAAACCACTATCAACTCATTGGTAATTACGAAGATGATTTCGAGAGGTTCTTGGAATATAATGATTACGCTGGTAATTCTATAGATTTATTGCCTTATGCACTTGCCAACATCACTGGTGTGTGTTGTATAATACTTCAAGTGGACAAAAATGGCGAAATTCGTACCTTTCACATTCCCCCATCATACGACATACCTGATAACGAACCAATTGTTAACCGACCTCCAGAAATAACACTGATCTACTCACCAACTAGACAGCATTACGATGTTGCCTTGACATGTGATGAATACCAAGCAATGGTTATGGAAAAAACAGAAGCGCAAAAGGTATTTATTGATCTTTCCATAGACGAAGATATTATTGATGAATCCGAATGTAGCGACAGTAGCATTGATAATGAAGATATGTACCGGGATATTTTCGCCGATGACCCGGACAGTTCTGATGACGAAAATTTTACATTCTGCGTTGATGATAAAGAGATAAAGTTGTTTCTCCGGTCCAAGTCGATAAAAGAATTAAAGCTCTTAGCTGAACAGCACAAAATATCTCTTGTAAATGTAATCGAAAAGCAGGATCTTGTACTACGTCTAGCTAGTAATCCAACATTGAAAATATGTGTATCGAAAGATATGGGTGAGAAGAAAGCTGCCGAAGTGAAAGAAAGAAAACGATCAAAGAAGGTAGATCCCACATGGTGGGAGGATATTGAAGCCAGAGAGGTGGAAAAAATTCCGTACGACATCGATGGAACATGCGTGTTCAAATTAAGTTTCGATCCCGTAGACCGACTCAAGTCCAGCGCAGATGGAAGATCTTGGGAAAAGTCGTACACATGTAACACGAAAGAGTTTCCTAATGGTCGAAGAAAAGCAGCGAAATGTGGCGGCAGTTACACATGCATAAACAATCTATGTATGTTTTATGTACAATATGGGAAAGAAAACAACGTGCAATGGAAGAAAACTGCTGCTGGGACCCGGCTATGCAAGTGTTGCAATCACTTAATGCAACACATACCATGCGAGGCAAGAAAAATATGGGCGTTTTACCAAGAGCACGTCATTGTCAGGCATTTAGGATTCCACACATGTCCAGCAAGAATTCCCATGACCTTCCCCGAAGAAATTAGCGAAACCTTCAGTAGAAATCCCAAGACTAAACCCTCCAAATTACAACGCGATATTCTGGTTAACTCTCTTCGAGAATCCGGTAATGTGAACGCCGTAAAAGAGTTGGCCACCAATCTTCTCGACAAAAAAAAACTTAGAAACGAAAAACAAAAACAATCTAAAGTAACCCACCCGCATGGACACAGTTTTGATGCAGTAGTTCATCTTAAGAGACAGCTAGATGCACAGGATCCGTTCCTTATCTTTGAGATAAATGGCGAGGGTATGAACGAGAATCCATCATATGTTTTCAAAAGCAGCACCTTTTTGGCTAAAATTGCTTTGGAAATGGATAGGTCCGGCAACCACTATATGTCGAAAGAGTGGGTTTTCTTTGACGCGGCCCATAAAAGATGTCGAGGATTCAAAACATTTAGCATCACTACATTCCACCCACTTTTAAGAAAGATAGTGAAGTTAGCAACCATGCGGGAATGCAAAGAGGAAGACACCAGATCTGTGAAAATAATGTGGGAGTTGTTCAATAAAGTTTTGCAAACCGTGTCTAGGCAAAATTTCTACAAATTGAATCCATGTGGATGGATGGTAGACGAAGCAGGGTCAAACTGGAAAGGACTTAAAGAAGTTTACGGAGATGATGTTCAGACAAGAATCGTTAGTTGTCAATTTCACTATCAGCAAAGTAGGAACGATCACCGGCGTAAGTTACTGACAGACGAAGAACGTGATATATTTACCAGATTATCCAATGCGCTTTTCACAGCTGTTACGCCTTCAGGATTCATGGAGTCCTATGAAAAATGCTTAAATTTTATCAAGTCGAAACCCAACCGTGAACACGTCCTACTTAACTGGTTAACCTGGTGGTACAGCAGGCGATCTCACGTATTTCCAGCATTCCGTCCTCTGCACGGCGTCCCAAGTACAAACTTGGCCGAGTCATTTAACTCTATCTGGTCCAACAGTGATACCAACAATTTATCGCTTGTCGATGCTGCTTACTATGACACAGTAGAATCACTGATGCTGGAGACAGAATTTGAATGTTTCAAGGCAGGAACATTTAAGGGAGGAGACGGCCCAGACTTTCATACCAGAGAACAAAAAGAGCGTGTTGAACAAATGCGACGTGCAAGAGTATACGCAGAAGAAATTCGAAAGGGAGGCGAAACCATTTCCGAAGGTCAAAATTCTCGTCAGAACGCTTCGGACTCTTTTACTCCAACGAGCTGTTCACATCGGCCTGACAAAAGAAGTAGTTCCAGCGAACGTACTTCCTTTAAGAAACATAAAGGGTCTCAACAAAGGGAAGCGAAATGGCGGCAAACAAGAAGCAAAGTATTTCAACAAAGCTTGAAGAAGGCGAAAAACGAGCCTTTCCAGTTAGTTTCGGCAAATCTTGGAAAACATGAATTTATGGTATATTCCGTCAATTCTAGGAACACTTACCTTGTTTCAGTGACAACTACCCCGCATTGTGAATGCCCCTTTTATATCGTTAAACAGAACAACACTCAGCAAATATGCAAACATATACTATGGGTGTATTTGTTTGTGTTGGAGATCCCCGAGGAGAGTAAACTAATTAACCAAGTAGCGCTACTAGAATCTGAAATACTGGAGCTAACATCTAACGCTCCAGCTGTAATCCCTCCCCGACTTTTCAGACCATCTTCAACAACAAGTGGGTCTTTCGCTCATAACACACATTCATCGGCAAGTAACATGCCATCTACTTCAACAGCAAACATCTCTAGTGGTAAAGTACCGAAGATGACGAATGACGAGATCAATGGTTTGTTTGAAAATTCGCCTCTTAACACCGCTCCTCAAGTTTGGACAGCAATGAAGAAAATTGGCAAGGGAAAACAACCATCTTGTGCGGGGTGCAGAAGCAGCAAAATACTTCCGGGAAGAATTTGCATCCACGTGAGCGGTTTGTATGTACCACAAAACTGCAATTTCTGCGTGAGCAGGAACTTCTATTTTTGCGCAAATTTAAACTGTGTTTCAAAAAAGCCGCTGGCGTCAAACTTAATATGCCCTCCATTTCAAGTGCTCGTTGGTGAGGGGACTGCATTAAGCCTGCAAGAGTATGAAATGTTGGTGGAGAGGGGTTTGCCCATGGCGTAGCTCTATGTCCAAAGGAACAAACTAGAAACTCTGTTTGTATACACTTGATTAAAAACTATATATTTTTACAAACCGTAAAAATTATTAAGATGTTATTTGTTAGATATTGCTTTTTTGGTGTTTGGTTCATTGTTATGGTTTTGCTAAAAGTTATAAACAATAATAAAAACAATAAATAATTAACTGTTTATTTACTCGTGCTCGCTTCACTTGCTAAGTACTAAAGTACTACTAGTTTCTACTAGCGTGAAATGTTAAAACTTGAGAAAAAAGTAAATTTACAAAAAATTATTAAAATGTGGAAGTTTTTTTCCAAAAACTGACATAACTCTCTTCATAAAGTACTATAAAAAGTAAAAAAGTAAAGTAAAAAAAAGTAAAAAAAAAAAGTAAAGAAAAAAAAAGTAAAAAAAAAGTAAAGTACTATTAGTTTCTACTAGCGTGAAATGTTAAAACTGACACGTGAGAAAAAAGGAAGTGGAAGTGTTTTTCAAAAAACTGTCATAACTCTCTTCATTGCCACAATCATGAATGCGGAGAGTTATAAAAAATGATAACTCTCTAACATCTTCATAATGTTAACGAGAGAGAGTTACGTCAAACATAACTCTCTCATGTTAGTTCAAAGAAACGTCGAGAGAGTTAAAAAATTGGGTGTGGTCGTTGGGAAAAGTGGGCGTGGTTTGGGCGTGGTTCGAACATAACTCTCCGAAATCATAACTCTCCGAGATAACTCTCCATTTCATAACTCTCCGTTTAGCCGGTCCCCTAAAGTAATATAACTGTAAATCCGTAACTTTGATAATGGTTACCAGTTAACAATAACAAAATTTAATCTGGGTGATCGTACAATAAAAAATGTATCACGTTGATTATGTCAGGTATGACCTGAATTTATTATTGTGTAGACAGTATTTGATTGTTAACACACAAATCAAATGCAGATGCATACCCCCTAATTTACCATTTTACTTGGTTAACACCAGACAATTACCCATGAAGGTGTTAATATTAATAAACCTGTGCTATTTGTAAAACATCATGTCTAAATAGGACTCTTTCAAGGTTAATGATGCCATAATGAAACACAATAATAGGAATTTCCTACAGGTAACTTTGCAAGGGGTAAAATTCAAGATGGCATCCTTAACCTGGAAGGCTCTATTATGGTCAAAAGGTGTTGATATATTAATGATGTCAAAAAGTGATCATTATACGAAAGGCTGGCCAGAAATGGCAGACATGCTCAACCTAAACCTGAATTTAGCATGTCCTTACTGAGTGTTGTTGTAACTTTACTGCAACATTTAAAGTTGATTAATGACAGAAATATATTCTCTATCTTGCCTTTCTATGCAAAATCATGTATCCTTTATGATCATTGATCCAGTTGTAGAACTTTTGTATGTCAAAGTCATGCAATAAAGTTGGCTTGAAATTAGAATAGAAGCCATAACTTCTGCCTGGTATTTTGGTTAGAGCATCTTGTGACACAAGTTCTCTGACAATCTTCGTCATGTCAGCCTTCTCTGACCTACGCATATGTTTACCAGAGCGCTTGTACAACAACATTGAACTGTCAAAATTTTCCGTTAGCTGTTTTGTTACACCCATAGCATGGCAAATTCTGTTGATGGACTTTGTACTGGCATTAGGTCCAAGTTTTTTGACAACATCTTTGAAAATTCTGTTCAAAAACTCAAGGGCCAGATCAAGAGAGATATTGCCACCCAGCTTTTGTTTTCTTTTTGAAAATCTGTTCCAAACTAGATCATGTGCAGCTTTTGGACTTAACAGTGCATATATCTGGAACATCATGTATAGTGCTTCCAGAGCATACTTGTTGCTGCTTTGGCCATCATGGCACAAATATAACAAAAGAAATTTCAAATTTCTGATTACTCTAGCACCCATCTCCCTCAGAAATTGCATAAAAAATTAAGAATCACCATACCATACTCGAGCAGGGATTTCTGGTAATTGTACATGTCATCTGCTGTGACGTCTTCATGGATTTCAGTCAGCAGTGGTTGCTCTTCTATGTTGACTGGTGGATTGTGAGACTGCTCGTGAGTATGTCGCCATTTCCCATCGGACCTAAATGTCTTGTTGCAACCAGGGAACCGACACTTATATCTGCCACTTGATGTCATATCCTTCAGCCTTTGCAACTGCTTTTCTTCTAGCTGGCTGGTGGCAAGGGCAATCTTTTTGTGTTTGGCTTTATCGAGAATATACTTGTCGACAATTGTTGCTGCTAACTCCTCCAGGTATTCTTTCTTCTTAGCCTTGGTCCAACTCTCAAATTGGTGCGGTACACACTGCGACATCTCTTCTAGTTCTTCAATGCCAAGCTCCTTCATTCCAGCTGCAACAATGCGTGCCTCTAGGTCTAGAATGAAGAAGCGTCTACAAGGATTAACTGCAGCATCAACATCACTCTTTACACTGCGACGGTTTATTAAATTTCTGTCGCTGTATAATGTGCACTTATCTCCAGCTGATGTTGGGTTGTAGAAGTGGGCAAACGCAATCTACAAGACAAGTAAAGTATTTAAGTTTTTGATATCAAAATATTGTTATTAAATAAAGTCTTAAAGATCATAAATACAGTAGTGAATGATTATGTAAAGTTAACCAATTGAAAATACACTACTGTATTTTGATGTATTACATTATAATTTTCATTTTATTCATTGTCTCCAAGGTGGTATTTGATTTCCTAACAGTTTAATCAAGACAAAACCCACATAACATCAATAGTTTCATTGTAACATGAAATTCCACCCCAAATGTTTATGGTTGTATTGTAAAGATCACTTAAAATGACTTAATAACTTCTTTTATATAATTTTGGTAACTTGCTCCCTTCGCAAGATATTCAACTTTGTTTCATATGCAAATATCACCGGTGTGACATCACATCGCATAATGAGTTTTCAGAAAAGTATAGTTTTCTTGACGAATACGTATCTAAAAAACTTGCTCTTGTATATGCATTCATTTCGTAACTGCTAATTAATCCTCTGTATTTGTTTGTAAAAATATTTTATCAAGGTAAAATATTGTGTTTTCAAAATGTCATGCGATGTGATGTCACACCGGTGATATTTGCATATGAAACAAAGTTGAATATCTTGCGAAGGAAGCAAGTTACCAAAATTCTATAAACGAAGTTATTAAGTCATTTTAAGTGATCTTTACAATACAACCATAAACATTTGGGGTGAGATTTCGTGCCATAGGCACTTTAATTCTTACTGTTTGTAGTCAAACCGGATGCTCTCGTGTGAGCAACATTGCAATATTATCCCACAATAATGCAATTTTGATAGTTGAAATTCACAAACGATTTTGAGACAATATTGCAATGTTGATCCCACAAGAACATCTGGTTTGACTGTAAAACTTGGGATTAGAATTTTCAATAGGGGACAAGCTTTGCTAAGGGGATGAGATACAACCACTGAGTACAAAGTCCATCAACAGAATTTGCCATGCTATGGGTGTAACGAAACAGCTAACGGAAAATTTTTACAGTTCAATGTTGTTGTACAAGCGCTCTGGTAAACATATGCGTAGGTCAGAGAAGGCTGACATGACGAAGATTGTCAGAGAATTAACTTGTGTCACAAGATGCTCTAACCAAAATACCAGGCAGAAGTTATGGCTTCTATTCTAATTTCAAGCCAACTTTATTGCATGACTTTGACATACAAAAGTTCTACAACTGGATCAATGATCATAAAGGATACATGATTTTGCATAGAAAGGCAAGATAGAGAATATATTTCTGTCATTAATCAACTTTAAATGAATTGCCCTTCTAGAATTCAGAGTATTGTGACTCACTTCATACAGTGAAAATGTTAATAAAAATATAATGCCACCCTTAATTCGAGTATATCCTTACTCCAAGTGCTTTGTTTCCAGCATGCCAATCTGCAATCTCACAGTGAATTCCATCTAAGCGTTCTTCTGGGGTGAAACCATTGCTGAGTGTCATGTGAGCATTCACTGCTCTTTCAACTGTCAGCTGATCTCCAACGATTGCCTGACTTGAGTATCTTCGTTCTTCTCCATCGCCAACGAACGGAACATAACCATGGAGTTCCTGTAATATTTTCTGCATGCCATTTGCATTGTTTTCACTCTCGAAAATAACCCCAAGGAAATTCTGAAAGAAATCAACAGTTGAAGTTAGGTGTCTTTCTCAGGTACCTCAATGTGTTGGTTATTTTGAGGCAATTAGGGTATATGTATTTATTCACTGAGGGCCAAGCCCATGATAAATAAATCACATATTCACAAGAACAGTTAATATAATAATATAAATTATTAAATTATAAACTTACTGAATTTGTTGGTTGTGATGCTTCTTTGCTGTATTTGTGATGAATGTGCTTCTCAACAACATCTTGTCCAAATTCAAGGCAGGGAATATTTTCAACCAGAATTCTCTGGACCAACGTGATGTAATTTGCTCTCTGTACTTTTTGTTCGATGTGATTAGGAATACACTTGCCATTTTCCATTTGTTTAATACCAGGTACAGGGCTGTCCGTACTCAAATGGTTTCCAGATATCCTGTTTGTGGTGGCGTTGACTGTCACATAGTGTCTATCGATGTTCTGGTGTTCTTCTGTCATGTAGTGGACATTTTGATGGTAGTCAACATTGTCGATGGTGAGCTTGAATCCAGGGGATGGTTTTGCACATGTAACTGTGGTTGGTCTGGGCTCAGTTTCTTTTTCCATAACAATCTTTTCTGCAAACCACTTCGTGTCGCTTTCAACCATTTCTTTCACTTGCAAGTCGTAACGCTCTCCAAACTCATCCAACTTCTTATAGAGGTGGGTTGGCGATGTCACCAATCTTAATGGGGCTAACCTGGACATAATGGGCTATTCAAAGATACAAAGTAGTAGATTAAAACAAGCTGGATTGAGATTTGTTTGGGCTAGAGTTGTCTTGGGTCACTCCAAAAAAGGGTCACAATAATGGGTCACTCCAAAAAAGATCCACTCTCTCTGCATGGAGGATATTTCTGGAGTGCAAGAAAACTTTGATATCATTGTGATTATAGTAATATAGTGAGTGTATTATGAAATCCAATGGGGGGGGGGGTAGAGGGTTAATGATTTGTGGATGTTTTCTGGAATAACCCAATATAATATGTAAAATACATAAAGTATTATTTAGCATAATAATATTATTATTTAGCATAATAATATTATACACCTCATTGTATCAACTTTGTATTAGCAAACATCAAGGCTCAAAGGAAGACAAAACCAGTGTTTTCCAAGGGGACATACATTAATAAACTGTTTTCAGAAGCTATGACAAGTGTCAAAGCTTCTGGTAACCTGAAATGGCAATAATTGTTCAATTACATGCCCACAAGCTACTTTAAGGGCATTATAGTCACACAATTGTTGCCTGCTCAAGATACATCGAGATTATTATAAGCTACATAACTCCAAATCAACCAATGACAGTCCAGTTTGTAAACTGCAAAATGTCAGCTATACAACAAATTATATTAACCCATCAGCATTCTCCCCCTGACAAGTAAAATTATCTGATGTTAGACAGAGTAAAATAATAAAGTAAGGTAGCATCTGGATGCATTGCCACTTAGTTAACAGGGTGCATGGGCAGATAGTCTGTTTAACCCATTGAGTGGCAGCACTCTCTCCCTGACAGGTAAAATCGTCTGGTGTTAGACAGAGTAAAATGATAAAGTAGGGCGCATTGTCACATAAACGGTTAATTAAAATATACATGTACTTACAGCCCAATTAGAATGATATAAAAATATCCCCAACATTAGTTGCACAGCATTCATGTATGGTGATCGGTTTCTGAGCAGCACTGAAGCAGCCATTCCAACTGCTGGAATCCACGAGCTCTTATCAGTTTTCTTCCTGTTGCAACCACCTGCCACCAACACTGAATAAAACAATGGTGCTCTCTCTTCCAGCTCTTCATTCTCTTTCTCAAATGAAAAATCCAGCATTTTCTGCTTTGAAGGAGATCTTAAACAACTAGGATTTTTCCGTGAGCAAATATTTGAGCACTCCTTGTCAATTTGTTTTAGGACGTTGACGGTGAGATGCTTTCTGATCTGTTTGCTGTTCCATGCTGCATTGGCTATTTGTTTATAAGTACCACGGACCAGCATTTTCCCTAGTGTCTCTAAGTCTGGATGCAATTGTTTTTCAACAGTTTTACTCGGCCATGATACTCTTACGTTCACAGATGTTCTAGCGGGTTGGTGTTCTTTAACAGGAGTGGAATGACTTAATGGAACAGTCGGAGGAGAACTAGCGATTAAGAAATCCAATTCACGAGAAGTTTTACTTTTACCTTGCTGAAACGCTGGCTTAGCCTTTGATGTTGTCTCAACACCTGCGATGGACACGTTACTGGTCCCTCTTCTGTCTTATCTTGCTGCCTTTTAAATTTTCCTTTGAATCCTTTCTGGTAAACACTAGTGAGCTCCGCAACAATGTTTCTTTCTTGTAAAAGTAAGCTTGATCTTTTTTGTAATTTGGCCAAACACTGTCAGCAGATATAAGCGGAAGAAATATACGACACTTCGAAAGGTAATTTCTCGATGGCCTCTTTCACATTAAATTTGGACTTCCCTAACACTAAATATCTTTCGTGGGCTTTTTCAATCACACGGAAACACAAAACACATGAGAAACTGTCGAATTCTTCCGAACAAGAAACAAGAACGCTTTCCGCCATTAATAATTCATGACCCAAAAACAAAGTGCGAAAGCAGTAATTTATGCAAGTGGTGCGACGTCACGGAACACGATTAGGTTCGCGTTTTAGCAGAGCCCTATTTTTCCGCTTCAAATTTTCGGGTGGGGTCTGCTGAGCAGGCTATAAGAGGAGTGAATTGACAGAAGTGGCCAAATTAAAAGTGTTTTTAATGTGTTGATAACTAACACTACGTCATATTTTGCACACAGGAAACAGTGTATTTCACAGGCTTGCCCTATTTTAGGGACCACCTGCCATGGAGGCTTCTAACAGGAGGAAAAGCAGTAGTTTTAATAGTAAGCTGTAAACATGTTTGTAGCTTTTGTTGTTGGGAAAAAAATATTAGAGTACACACAAAAATCGTTATAAATTGAAATAAACAATAAGAAAAAAGCTGTAAAAGCTGATAGAGTACGGCGTCTTGAATTTGGCCTTTCAGCAAATAGGCCATCTTTGTCTTGTTTTGCGGCATTTATTCCCGTTTTGTAGGATACAAGCCCCCCATGTGTACATGGTAACAATAGCCTTTTATAATATTATTAGCATTGATGAAGATCCGGTCTTACGGATTGATAGCTTTGCAGTATTCAGTAATAAGTTTTCGTGGTGTTTCCAGAAACAAAAATACTATATGAATTTACTTTAATTTCGCTTATTTTTTTATCAGTAACTTCCACAGAATGGTAGCCGTCATTTTGAAAATTTCGGTTTTATTATATTCACCTGCAGGTGAATATAACACCTTAGTATTTTGGCACAAGTGAATATAACAAATCCTAAAAGTTGATTGGTCAAATTTGACGTATTAAGCTGTTATACTAACCTTCATGTGAATATATAACAAAATCTAAATTCAAAAAATGGCGGCTAGCCGTTTTGTGGAAGTTACTGATAAACAAATAAGCAAATTTAAAATAAATTCAGTAACAAAAAAACACAAAAGACTTGTGTAAAAATACTAAAACAATTATTCGGCTCGGTGATTATCGGGAAATATTCACCTAGTGTGACACGGTTAATACAAAAAACAGAAAACCGACCAAAAAACCCTGTGACGCGGGTTTTTTTACAAAATACGTTTGAAAATCGAAACTACTACTAAAAAAAGACCCCTACATGCTAGTACTCAGTACTCACACAAGACGTAAGGTATTTTGAAGACGTTATTAAATTTCAAACAAAATCTCTTTAGTTTTTCATGTGTAAATGCCAAAACGCGATTAAGTATGCAACAGACTTGTATAAGTATGATTCGATTTTAGTGAAAAACCGATTTTTCTTTGACTTTTTAAAATTTTCCCCCTGTTTCTTTGATACTCACATCCTCGTCAATTTTTTGAGCAGTGAACTTGTAAGATTTGTTATGCTCACTTTTGCAAAAATACTTAAGTGCTTGTAAGACAAAAGAAAATTTCGATTCGGTCAAAAAATTTCACCTAGTGGAAAACCGCCTTTAGGCCAGGGCGAACTTTTCATGTACCGAACCTAATGTTAATGAGCTAAGTTCTTTGTTTCACTTCATTTGCATTAGGGTGGGCAGATACACCCACCCCACTCGAAACTTCCAAAGCCAACTCCCTATTCAACACTTCCAATCCACTATTCTGAGCAGCAATCCCAACCCTAACCCAATCTCCACTGGAACCTTAACCCAAAACCTTATTCCAAACCCTTATAATCCAAACCCTACCCTATCAACTAACCCTACCCTAAACTAAGCCCACCCTAATAATCAAACCCCCTAAATTTTAGGATTTGTCTTTCTTCCCCACAGGCATAATTTTAGAATCTCTCTCCTCCCAAGAATTCCTTTTCGCCTTGCCTACACGCAGAGTACGGTTCACGACAGTTATACAGTAAGTAAATTTCAATTTTTACATTCCAAAACCAAAAATCAACACATCACGCATGTGTACACAAAAAGTAATGTTCTTTATTTAAATGTTTTGCTATATGCTAATTAAATAAGTAGTGTAACTGGATGCTTGATCAGTATAAACTATACTTTTCTCAACATATGCAAGCAGCAAGGTATTACAAATTTTGACTGAAAATTCCCTGTTATCAGCATTGTAACAGAGAAAATTGAAATAAGCATGTGTGGTTGTAAAATACTGGTAATTCTTTGTTCATCAATATACCTGTATGAAAACGAGAGTATAAGAACAGAATTGGAACTGATGGACAATATATAGCACGAATCAGACATAAAGTCCCATGCAAGCTGGTGCTTATCATTCTAAAACTATACAAAACAATAAAACAGATCACAAAATACAATACAAAACAGCACAAACATGAAACACAGTAATTTACCAAGTTCTATGACATGGACAATCATGCACTAATGACCATGTACATGGCATTTCTATGTCGAACATTGTCCCAAGCAAGTGTTTATATGTGCTTGTAATGTTTCTTTTAAATGAGGAGAGGGTGGCAAAGGTGGTAGGAGGTAGAATTTTACAGGTATAGTTCCATATTTTAACTAGTCAGTTGAAATAGGATGCTTTGAATGTGTTGGATTTACAGAGGGGGACTTCAAGGGTGAGGGAGGGATTTTGACAGAGTCGGGTCCGATTGTTGTTGGAAAAGGAGACAAAGGTGTTGACGTCCAAATCTGTGTTGCCAAAGAGAGCCTTGAAGAAGAATACCAGATCAGAAATCTCTCTTTCATAGCAGATGGGGAGTAAGTTCAGATTCATTAGCCGTTGTTATGTCATTTCACCATGCTTGGATTGTAGTATCCACACGGTGGCTCTTCTTTGGACGCTTTTGACTCTAGACTTGAGTTTGACAGTGTGTGGAGACCAGACTTCACTAGCGTAACATAACTGAGATCTAACAAGCGAGAGATACAGCGTTCCTCATACTGTTTTGTCTCTCAAAAGAGAGCAAGTTCGTTTAACTCTTTATCGACAAGCGACATTTTGACGATTTTACAACTCAATTGTTTATAACGTAAATATCTCAGCGCGTATTCACCCCCCTTTAAAACAAAGAATAGCATTGAAATCCTAATAAAATAACCTTTTCAACGGGGGGTTGAATGCCGTCAAAGCATTACACAAACCAAAAAATCATATATTTACTCACCGCTTGGCCAAAATTTCGGAATTTCGTTTCCACAATAGCGTAAATAACTTGTGAATTCTTCAGAGTTCGGCTCAAATCAATATGAGTGAAATATGTGCTGTATTCGAGCGCTTTTATATCCAGAATTTCACTTGAATACAGCCAGTAGAAATGTTTATTTTGAGTTTTTAAAAATATCGGGTTTTTCTTGGTTTTTCTCGCACGCGCCTGCCACACCCGTAGCCCGATGCACATGCAAATCATGCTGCAGATGTAATTTGACCTTTAGAATTGATTTCCGACGTTTCCCGAGCGCTAGGATGTAAACACGCGATGTTTTGGCGAATTTAAATCGCATTTCCGGTCAAAAAATATCCCGCTGAGTTCGTTCATATCGCAACCGATTGAAATATCGAAATAAAAGACGAAGAACTGAGGCTACAAGCCTCAAAATAACACTGTAAATAGTGTTTTTGATTGTGAATCGAACAAGACTACAACAAAAAATACATGTTTGAAGGGGCCGAAGTTGTGTCTGGCAAAAGGTATGGCTTTAGTGATAAATTGTTTACATTTTTCGAACAAATATGTAATTTGTTGAAATATGATACGTCTTGACCCTTCATAGGTCATAAATCGCTATAATGTTTGTCTTTGACTAAAACTATCATTATGAATCAGGAAATCTTATTTCGCTGAATTGAATGGTGGTATTTTCATCTACGTAGCATGTACTGAACCGAAGATATGAACCTCCAAAATACTATTGCAGTTCTGCAAAATCGCATTTCCGGTCAAAAAATATCCCGCTGACTTCACTAACATCGCAACAGAATGAAATATCGAAATAAAAGACGAAAACCCGAGGCTACAAGCCTCAAAATAACGCTGTAAATAGTGTTTTTGATTGTGAATCAAACAAGACTACAATGAAAAATACATGTTCGAAGGGGCCAAAGTTGTTTCCAGCGAAAGGCATGGTTTTAGTGCTACATTGTTTACATTTTTAGAACAAATATGTAATTTGTTGAAATATGATACCTCTCGACCCTTCAAAGGTCATAAATCGCTATAATATTTGTGTTTGACTAAAACTATCACTAGGAATCAGGAGATATTATTTCGCTGAATCGAATGGTGGTATTTTCATCTACGTAGCATGTACTGAACCGAAGATATGAACCTCCAAAATACTATTGCAGATCTGCAATAGTTTTCACAGGGCCGGTCGAAAAGGAGTTAAGCAGGCCGAGCATCTTGTTAGCCTTACCCGTGATTGAGTGGATGTGAACATCCCAATTGAAATTGGCACTGATGCAAACACCAAGGTCTTTATCACACGCAAGATTTCCTTTGAATTCATGTGGTAGACATACACGAGTGGAGTCTTTTTCGTGTGATGGTCAGCACCTTACATTTCGACTGGTTGAAATCTAGGTTGAAATCTAGGTTGTTATCATGACTCCAACATTCAAGGCTGGTCAAGGTGTGTTGCAAAATTTGACAGTCATCTTCCGATTTAATTGATTTGTACACTTTAGTGTCATCTGCATACAATGCTGCCAAGGTCTCATCTGGTAGTAGATTTGGAAGATCGTTTATAAAGATCGCAAACAGAACAGGTCCTAGGATACTTCCTTCTGGCACACCAGATGTTGCAGGTGCCCAGGAAGATGCAACTCCATCTACCACAACTCGTTGACAACGACTGCTCAGATAGTCTTTGAACCATGCATACAACTGTCCTGATACGCCATAGTGTTTAAGTTTGTGGAGAAAAATAATGCGGTCAACAGTGTCAAATGCCTTTGCAAAATCTAGGTAAACGATGTCTGTTTGGGTGTTCTTGTCGAGAGATTGTCCGATAGTATGAAGAACAGATAGGAGTTGAGTGACACATGAACGTTGTTTGAGGAAGCCATGTTGAAATTTGGTGATGAGATGTTTGACATGATCGTAAAGTCTGAAACACACGCCACCTTCCAGAACTTTTCCAGGGATGGGAAGCAAAGAAATAGGTCTATAATTTTCGGCTGGTTCTTTACGATCTTTCTTGTGGATAGGCGTAACATTGGCAGATTTCCATTCAGAAGGGATCTGACCGGTGTGTAGCGAATGATTGAATAGTTCACAAATGCTGGGTGCAATTTGGATGCTGCAGTCTTGCAGAAGACGAGTTGGAATGCCGTTGGGGGCCACATGCTTTGGATGTGTCAAGGTTGTACAAACTTCGCCCAACTTTTTCCGCATTGAGTGTTATATTGGAAAGCTCCTCAATTTATAATGGTTGAAGCACATCACAGATACCTGATTTTGAACCTGTGGAAGGTGAATGAAATACAGAAGAGAAGTACGCATTGAAAAGTGTAGCTTTATCTTTTGCAGATTTAGCAGTAACTCTGTCAAACGTTATTTCGTGATGCAGATTTGCTCGGTGCGTAGGATAGCTTTATGGTAGCTCCAGAACAGCTTTGAGTTGACAGAGAAGGAACTTTCAATTTTAGCCAGATATTCTTGATGTTTCCGCCTAATGAGAAGCTTAGTTTTTGGGGAAAGGGATCGCAGCTTTCGCTTACAAGTTGCAGATCTATTCATTCGGTAGTTTTTTAATGCACGGTATTTCTTGTGGATAAGAATCCGGACTTCTTGATCAATCCAAGGGGGAGAGTTGGTGTCCTTAACAGTTCTTACTGGAATGTACTTTTTCACAGCAGTTAAGAACGTTTCCTTCCATTGTTCCCAGTAGTTATCAATATCATCGGTGGGAGTAATATTAATGGTATTTCTCGTGGGGAAATTATGCAACTCATCAAATTTACCGTTCCTGTAGTAAAAAACTTGACGTTTAACTGGCTTGGCTCTTTTAAACTTCAGTTGAACATCAATTTCGACTATGTAATGATCTGTTGGGAAACATTCAGGAAGGAATGCAGAAACGTCACCGATAATTTCAGGAGAATTAGATAGCAAAAGGTCGAGTTTATTACCAGCAATGTGGGTAGGGCCAGATATAAACTGTTGAAGGAAGTTGTCGTCCACCATTTTGCAAAATGCTTATTCTCATTGGACCCTCCGGTATTCACAGGAATATTTTCATGACTCGACCATTTAACAGATGGTAGGTTAAAGTCTCCAATCATTACCAGATGACTCGATTCTTGGTTTCTATGGAGTGAGTTGTTTAATGACTGAAGGACATCAAGCGTAGAGTCAGAAGGGCGATAGAAAGTGTAAAGGATGACAGGTTTACTGTTCGATTTAAAAAGTTCAGTAACAATAAGCTCCGTATTGTCAGTTTCCAAATCGTGTCGATGTGTGACTTGTATTCCTGACTTAATAGCAACGAGAACACCACCACCAATTCTGCCAGTTCTATCATGCCGGAAGACAGTTCCATAGTTAGGTATAATTTCGCTGCTTAAAACTGAGTTGTTTAACCACGTCTCGCAAACACATACGATGTCATAGTTTCCACTGTATACTAAATCTTGAAATAACGAAATTTTGCAAACTTTCGGGGAGGTATTCCCCGGTGGATGAACAAATGCTTTCAGGCTTCTTGCATTTAAATACAGTATCTTAAAACCATCCCTTGATTGTGAGTCAGATGTTGGGCCTGGGTTGGTTGCTACATCACCAGCAAGCAGGATACATAAAAGAAGATGCAAGTTTTTGTGTTTTACCTGAAGTTCCAAGCCGTACTGGTACTTAGAAGGATAGTTAGATTTCTGTAAAATGTTGTCTCGCGTTGATGTCCAAAGAAAACAAAGTCTATCAGGTATTCTTGCAAGTTCAGAAGCAATGGAAATGTTCGTCGACGTTGATCTATCTTCGGAGCGCATAAGTTCGGGTTTTGATCTTTTAGCCAACCAAAAATATTATGAATAACATGGACATCCACATAATAACTCCAATGAACCTCCGCCACTTGATTTTACCTTTGAAAACAACCATTTCACTGTAATTTAAATGTGATAAAAATTATTTACACGCGAAAATTAATGAATATTTGTTATTAAATTCCAAATTAATTGATATTTTTCTAATTGCCGGCCGTTATTGTGCGAGCAATGATGCGTATTCGTTTGCTTGTGTGAGACAAAACTTACAACTCCAACTGTTTCAATTAACTTGAATTCAGATGCAAAGACCACGATATTTAATTTGACGCTTTTTCCTTGATTTAAATAACCAAAATCATACGCAACTTGATAATACCCAAGACAGTATTGTTAGCCACTACTTTCCGATGAAGTCAAATTTTAACGTGTAGTTTTAATGCAAAATTTTAAACAATTTTACGGACCGGCGAGCGTGTGTGTGCACGCACAATCATGAATCTGTTATAATCACGAATCTGTTGTCTGTTATATACCACGCTTATGAGTTACGAAAAATAAACGCCTCTTAATGACCCCCTGACTAGCAACATTCATACTTGATTCTGTCATTTTTTCAGTATTGCAAGCGATGCACTCGGGTTCTTTTACTTCTTCTTATTTGTTGACGTTCATACTTGTTATAATCTGTTATCTGTTATTCGCTTCTTGCGATAGTTGGTACTGGACCCTGTTTACTGTCACATCCGTCTTTTTGTCATTCTGCTTAATCACATAAGTTGATTCCCCTTTCATGTACAAGTCAGCAAGGAATTTAACTGTTGAAGGTAGTAAAGAATTGAAAGATTCAATAAGTAGATGCATGAATTTCTGTATGTCTGCCTGGTATTTAGTCAGGCCCATACCGAAAATCATGGCGTGACATGAACGATATTCGGGCCATAAAATTGAGCGAGACATGAGAGATAATGAGCGTGACGATACACAGCGATACACGGCGTGTCTCAAACGTGACATTTTCGAGCGAGACATTGGGCGATACATCAGCGATAACGAGTGTGACGATACACCAGCGATACACAGCGTGTCTCAAACGTGACATTTTCAACCAAATTTCACTGGTACTGGGCCATACATTTTTCAGGCCATAATTTTGTCTGGCCTGATTTTGGCTGTATTATGGCTCCACATTTAGGCCGGAAATTAAGAAATGCAATCGCATTTACGCAGACAAGTAAAATAACACATATCTATACACACATACCAAGATAGCACGCAATTGACGCAATGCTATTAAATCATGTCAAAAATATAAAGCAACTTTTTAAAAATTGAGTAAATTAAAAATCATTGACAATAGTTTACACTTCAAACTTTTGGATAAAATGCATTTGTAAAGTTAGCTTTTGTTCAAGTATTTTTATGCATATTTTGCTTTTCCGTCAACAGCGATTAAATTACTTTTATATTTCAACTTTCAAGATAAAACTACTTGATTGAAAGAACATCACGCTATTGCAACAAGCTTTTGCTTATACTAAAAGCCTTATCGACTTGTTTTAACTAATCTACATTGACATTAGGGGCATTTATATGGGCGAAATACAAAAATAAGCTGCGGCTTTGAGATGGACGTCGCGAGCGACTCATGTAAACGGTCAATTTGTCCGCAAGCGGCAGCTAAAATATTAAAGACAACAGGGTTGAAAGCTAGGCCTAAGTCACTATTGGGGCCGCGGTTTCAGACTTAATTTCGCCATTGCATTATATATGACAAATATGAAAATCGGATTTTAATTTCGGCCTTGAATATTTTGTAGGCTTTTCTACTCCATCTAAAGTTTTTATACCTATAAAAAGATTGTTCGCAATGCATGGTTTTGAAAGCGTAAAGGCCCAAAAAGACCGGATGCGATTCGGCAATGCGACGTGAATTTTCAATGACATTTACCTTTACTATTTTTCTATGTTTTTCAAATATTCTTAACCACTTAAGCAATTTTAGCTATTTGGTCTGCATATCTTGTAAAATTTGTATCCGTTGACGGTTTTATTTGTTTTTAAAATCTGAAAATTCGCGTCGTGTTGTCGAATCTCGTTCGGTCTGTGTGGGCCTTAATAATTACATTTAAAGTAAATTATGTATTGCGGTATCACACGCAAAACTGTACAGAACAGGTAAACGTTGAGATTAATTACTTACATTTAGAAGAAACTTGAAGACTGCATGTCTCCAATGCATATATTGCCAACGCCTTGAATCTCAAAATCGCACAGAAACTTTGCGAGGGACACTATCATTTGACTTCAACGTCGCCTGGCTGAAGAATTACCGAGAATACAGTGCAATATATAACGATGATCATTGTTGAAAATCCGCAACTTTTCCCTTGTTCGACCGACCGTGTATGGTTCGCTGCTTGAAAGCGATGCGTGTGTACAGCAAAATAGAACTCAAATTGCGCGCCTTGTCATCCAAGACAAAACAAATTAAGTTTTTAACGTAACGCTCTTGTCGTGCTCAGTTTCTTTCAATTTTCGCCGGATATGATAATAATCTCACATTTTCATGGCACGCAAAGGAATTTCTGTTGCTTGTCTCGCTCTGCCTCGCTATATTATCGTCCATGTTTCGCTGTAAAAGCAGCGTGACAATTGTCTCGGTTGAGGGAGACAATTTGTCTTGTGATGTCACGCTCATTCAGGCCAAATTCTCGGCCATAAACAAGCGATACAAATGTCTTGTTCGTAACAGGCAGCAAGACAAAACCAATGTCTGGTTGCGTCTCGCTCAATTACCGCTGCTTTAATTGGTTTATGGCCAGATTCTGGCCAGAATCTCGCTCAGTCAGGCTGTAACTTTTCGTACGAGATATTATAAAGCAATTGCGTCCATGTTGTATCAGACATACAGCCTTTAAGAGCTCTCACCTTTGACTCAAGTTTGTATATCTGATACAACACTTCTGCTCAATTGTGTTATCTATTACTTAGAAAACTATCTGCAGAAACTCTAATTTAATGCAATGTACCTTGAGAATTGTCATATATTTTAAACTTCTAAAATTTCATTCTCTAGTTAGCAATGACTAGCTTCACATTCGCCACAACGGCAACTCCCACTAGGTGAGTGTCAATGTCCGGTTTACCTAGCTGTTTTCAGTTAGTGTGCGCCCCAATGCACCTGCTTAATGACAGGTGATTTTGCTTGTCTTGACAAGAGAAAGAATTGTATGTATTAAATGATAAATAATGATACACCCAGGGGTCAGACGCTAGAGGGCGGGGGTGCGGGAGGGTTGTCAGGTATGCTCGGCAAATTATTGTAAATCCGGGCAGTGAGTCGGCAAATTGTTTCCTAATAAGTTGGTAAAACGTGAATAGGATAGGAAGCTAGGGTATAAACACTAAAATATTGGAGTGACACTCATGATTAATTAAAAACTAATAATTATATGTTAAGATCAAATTTGGGGGAATTATGGGAATATTACCTAATTACAAACATCAACCAACAAGATAATGAAAAATGTCCAGAAAATTTTTTATGTTTGGGTGCAATTATACCTGCCTCCCCCTCACCAAGAATTTTTGAAATAGAAATGTTCATTAGAAAAACAATTCTTCAAATAGGGCTATAGTGTTGCCCCTCAGGTTAATCTGATTATTTTCTCTCAGTCTCAGTGTATATGCATGTCTGTTTTGTCCCCATGAAGCTGGAGTCTATAATAATCACAATTGACAGAGGTGAAACCTCACTAGCATGCACATATAATGTCCTATTATATCTCACTGCATTTGTCCTAGCCAGACCACAGCTAGTATATGGCCAGACCTTCCAGCAGCCAAACACATTTATTATGCATGATTATTGTGACTTAATTAATTATTACAGTGACTGCATGATTGCATTAAGAGTGAATGTCAGTAAAAATCGAACATATGAGACATATTGCGCGGCCACGACTGAAAAATCGATTTTGCCCAGATATACCTTATTATATCGGAAAATTGCACCATATATTTTTTTAGGTCAAATGCTTTTTTAACTTTGATAAAATGCCGTTTTAACACGACCACCCTAAATCGCCATTTTTTCTGGGAAAATATGCGCTGATTTTACAGATAAATTTCACGACGACAACCGTTTCTAATCGATCTAAAACCCTAAAAATCTTGTTTTCGGTTATTCAAAGGACGGTATACATGACTTACAGGAAATCTGAGTTACTTTTAGGAATAGATATAATCGTAGTTTTGGAGCACATTATCTTACTTCATTTACGATACCCTCTGAACAAAACCGATTTTCACCATGCGATAAAGCTCCAAATCGATCATGCTTCTACTAGTTGGCTCTTTAATAAGCAAGCTTTCAATTGACGTAAATACTTCTTTTGGCAAATGAATACGCGATAAACGACAGCGCGTTGAAATCGTCCGTTTTTGACGTCTTGCAAGACAAACGTTGTTAATTTACATAACGTCGAAGTAAACAATTTAATCAAGTATTTTAAGTATTTTACCTTTTGAGAAGAAGATATATTCTTGAATGGAGACTTTTTGCCTTGCTTAGTTTAAAATTGGTCCAAAAATCCAGAGATATTTGTAAAATATCATCATATACAGGTATTTTGAAATATAATATTGTTGTCAGTTGCATGACAACTTCAGATCATTGTTCAATATTGTCTACTTTTAATAGCGCAAACATACAAATCGATGAGCTGTTTAGGGATTTTATATTTGTTACTAAATTTCCCAAAATTAGAACGTCAATTGACAATTGTTGTTTTGTTCCAGTTTGCATTCATCCATATAATGTACCATTTAGTATTTACATATCGACTATCGAGTATAAATGTTTACGAATACATAAGTTAATTATTAAGCAGCTGTTAATAGCGTGCGTGTGAAATGAACATTTATCCATACAAGGATTTGTTATTTTATTATATATTCCACCACCTCAAACTCAAATTATAGGCATATAGCAAATACTGTAGTTTAGAATAATGTGTGTTTACTTTGATGCACAGTTAAAATAATCAGTAAAATTACTTTATTTTGATACACTATTAATGTCTATTGATGTACTGTTTAATAAACGAGCAGGAGTGTTTTATTAGGTTTAAAGACACGAGCGCTCAGCGCGAGTGGCTTTAGAGCAGGGCGCTTATATAGACCTAAATAAACACTTATATAGACCTAATAAAACACGACCTGCGAGTTCAACACGACTATACAAATTCAATAGATATACCGCCTTATTAGTATTCTTTATATAAAAAATACTAATGAGGACACGACAACAATAGATACTGCCTTATTAGTATTCTTTATATAAAGAATACTAATTAGGAGTGTTTTATCAGGTTTAAAGCCACTGCATGTGACATGTTATAGTTTACATGATTTGCCAATAAGCTTATGAATTATTAATGAGTGTTTGAACTTATTATATTTCACAAGTACTATTACCCAAAAATACAGCATTGAGATATGTTGGCCCAGCGCGACACCACAAATTATAATTGTCTCCCCACACGTCGCGTTTAAAGAAAATGAAAGCTTGTTGCTCGTTTAACGCCGGATTAACCACGTGTCAAATACGGCAAATGCCGCGGGCCTCGCGCTTTGCTGTGCTACGCCCATTTTTACGAGAACACGGCCATTTTTCTTTTGCGACACACCCATTTTAGGTGCCTTGCGAATTTAGGGACCTCGCGCATTTAGGGCCCCTAGGCTTGGCAGTTCGCCCTAGCACGGCCCCGGGAAAATATGCAATACTCGTGTTCATATAATCTCTAGTTGCGTTGAGCTGTTATATTATGATCCTGTTTATACCCACCAACTGCGCCAGGCAGGCCATTATCTCGTTTGTAATTGATGTAAATAAATTGAAATATTGAAAAAAATTGTTTAACACTTTTGTGTGTCTTTAAATTCAATGGTTTTCATAAAAAGAAGAAAGGGGGAGGTTTGGGGGCCTCGCGCTAAAATTTGCCACGGGCCTCGCGCGACGTTAATTGACGTTAATCCGGGCCTGGTCACTTGTCGGTAGTTCTTGCGGTTTTGATGCCAATTGACAAAGATCAAAAGAGAGCACTGATGACTCCCCCCGTCGGAGAAATACTGGCGCAGCCCAAACCAGCTCAGTGAAATATGGGGCCCCAGGGCCAATTATACGCTTGGGGCCCCGGTGAACCACAATTACCCCCCTCCGTCGACAAACTTTTTATCGCCTTGCAAATTTGTATTTGCCTGTCTTCCTTGAGCTGGGGTCGCGGAGAAAATTGCTCCCTTTGCCGCCTCCCTGCATGGGCGGCGCTGGCGCCGCCCTTGTCTTATCATAACTATCTACCCTAATTCAAGCTGACTGGCGCGGCTCGATGAATTAATTGCCGCTTTCAAACAGAGGTTTATTATTTTAAACCTCTAGAACCAGGGTACCTTTTGTCACTCTGAGGCCAGCGAAATAACCTCTTCCGCAACATGCACGTACGCGTCTACTATCGTCAAGAAACAATCAATACGTATAATCGTTGTGGTCTGTGGGATTTTAATTCAATAGTGTAAACCTTGCAGTTTTAGGGAAGCCTCACATATCGATTTTTCCACAAGAAACGTCATATGTTCGTTTTGGGGGTGGGGGAGGGGGGTTTACAGCTGTGACGTTTCTCTGTAAATATCATGGAAAAGTTCGATAGATTTTTCGAATACCTTAACATTTCGGAATCAACTTTGCAGAGTATAAAAAAGAAAACAACTTGAAAGAAAACGACTATTCAAATATAAGGGCTGGTAAACTAAAAATAAAAACTCCTTATATGGATAAACATTATAAACGTTCATTTCACATGTACACGCACGCTAACAGCTGCTTAATAATTAACTTACGTATTTGTAAACATCAGTCGATAAATAAAATGGTACATTAATATGGACAAAATGGATCAAAACCTCTGAAAACAGCAGTTGTAGTTCCAATTCTTTTGGGGAATTTAGTAGCAAATATAATCCTTAAATAGCTCATCGATTTGTATATGTTAGCGCTAAAGTCAAACGGCCGGGTCGTAGATGTTACATATTTGTTTTGTTATTCTGACGTATGTTATTTAAGTCTTGTAATAACGTCATACAATGCGTTCGCGCCAAATATATGTTTTTATATTGTCTGTCTTAAAAACGCGTGTATTCAAACAGAACATGGTGTCAGGAAGGGATTTTCGCTGCTAAAGTTTGTTTATAACCGAATTTTTATATATCTAATCGTTTGATCGTTCTTCGTTGACGTTGTGTCTCGCTTTGCCTCGAAATTTGGTAGATTTTACTTGGATTTGATCGTCATTTATGGATAAGCTTCAACCACCGCCGCCATTTTCCTTTGAAGGAAACGTATCTCATGGCTGGAAATATGGGAAAAACACTTCAATTTTTATCTGACTGCTACTGAATCAGATTCAAAGAGCGATAAAGTGAAAACCTCCATTCTCTTAACCTGCATTGGACCCAAAGGACGCGAAATTTACGAGACATTTACCTTCTCACAAGAAACTGACAAGCTGAAACTCAAGATCGTATTAGAAAAATTCAGTGCATATTGTAATCCTAGAAAGAATATCACTATACTTCGCCATCAATTCTTTACCTACAGCCAACACGAAGGTCAGTCT